TGTGCAAGACCCTTAAAATGAGAGCTGAAAACAGCCAATTCTGTTTTCCTTGTGTGGTCATATAATCTTAATGTGTTATTAATTTGAAAGTTCAAGTTGCCAAACCGGCAAAAAGTTGTATTAAGAGAGTTTGTGTTTCAAATTTGCTCTAGACCAGTGCTGAATTCCAATGGAACTTTCTCAGTGATGGAGATTGTTCTGTTTTGCAACATGCAGTAGGGTAGCCACTAGCCATATTGGCTCTTGGAACTCTTCAGAAATGGCTACAGTGACTTTTAAATTTCATTTGATTTTTGTTAATTTAAGTCTGAATAATCACATATGGCTGTTGACTACTGTACTGGACAAGGCACAACCATAGGCCACCAATGAATATTATTATTTCTTGTATGGAGAATATCTTTGTGATTTAGGATGCTCCTAAATAAAGGTGGGCCTCCACAATGCACTCATCATCTGGGAATCTTTGCTGTCTTTGTGATAATCTTTTATCACCTCTTGGAAGTCCCAGCCACTTGATAACTGTCATTTAGAATGACACACTAGGGTTCAAATTCCAGCTGCACTCTCAGACTGTACAAGGTAGTCATGTATATTACTTTGTGATGTCTCTGGTACACTAGGGTGTGTGTGGCGTGCACCTTAGCTTGTCTAGTATATGTCTTGTTTAGCTTGACCAGAGCTTGTTGAAAGCAGGGATTGCTTTACCTGGTTTGTCACACAGTGCCACAAGTCAGGTATATATGTATATATGCTTAATTTACATGGGATTGAATGTAGGGTAAGAGGCATGGTTAATGACTGGAGCAGAAGTGATTTCAGTTTGATACTAGAAGTAGCAATATGTTTCTTTGCCAGATTTGGTCAAGGGGGCTAGTTGTAAGTTATCCAATAGTTTGTATAACATTATCAATGAAAAAGCTACTGTCTATTTAGTCCTAATTATGTATCAGGTGCTGTGCAAAGCATATTGGGTACATTTGCTCATTTAATCCTCATTCCAGTTGAGGTAAGTACTCTTAATGAGGTAGTTGAGGCTATCTTCAGCCCAGAACTTTCCAGTGAGCCTCTGTGCTTAACAGCTCCTGCTTATTTCACACATCATCTTAGAGGCCCCTCAGACTTCATGGGTTCAAGATCTACCTCATCATCCTACCCCAGTACAGAGATACTTTCAGTGGTTCTGGTTAAATGAATGGCTCCACTGCAATCAGCTAAAACCTAGACTGAAGTTACCTTCCTCACTCCCCATATTTAAGCTTTTACTAAATCTTGTAACTTTTATCTTTTAAATATCTCTCAGTTTTACCTACTTTTTTACCTTCATCCTCATCCAAGTTGTCACCATCTTTCTGCATTATTCACTTCAGCCTCCCATTAATCCACCACCCCAACCCCCTCCCTCAGCCTACACACAGCCAGAGAGATCCTTTCGAAATATATATATATGTCATCCTATTGCTGAAAACTCTACTGACTACAAGACCCTTTGTGGTCTGGCCATTCCCCATCTCTCCAGCACTATTTTGTACCACTTTCCTTCTCATTCTATCCCTTTGAGCTAAACTGGACCTTTTTCAATCCATATAATCACTCAGCTTTCTTTTTTGTAGGGCCTTTGCACATGCTATTCTGTCTACCTGGAAGGCTCTTCCTTCCTCTCACTTCCAGTTAACTTCTACTTTATCCTTTACATCCCATTTAGGCTTCGGTCCTCCCTGACAAATAATACATCTTCTTATTAAATGTTTTCATACCACTGTGTAATTTCTTAGTGGCAGCTGTCACAATTGCAACTTTACATTTGCTACCTTTGGTTAGAAGCCCTACCAGAGAAGGTGCCATTTCTGTTTTTCTTCATGTTTGCAGGTTCATGCTTGACAGCTGGTTTCTTTCTCTGCTCTTTTTTCATACCACCCTTCTCCTGCCAGTGAGTCCCCAAGCTTAATATTGCCCCCTACCCTTCCTTTGTATTCTAAGTGATCTACCTCAGGGCTTTTTTACTTGCTGTTTCTACCACCCTGACTTGTTGCTTTCACGTTCTGTTCTCTCGTGACTAGTGTTTTTCAAGAGTTACCTTCTCAGAGAAGCCTTCCCTAACTACCATATATAAAGTTAGTTACTCTCCACACTGTGATCCCCTACTTATTTCCTTTACAGCAGCATTCACCATTGTTGTCGTCATTTTATGTTCTTGCTTAATGTATGCCTCCTTCTGCTACACTGTAAGCTTCCCTGAGAACAGAGGCTTTGTCTGTCTTTTACTTCAGTTAACCCTAGTCCCTAGGGCAGGTATTTAGTGAATATATGTTGAATGAATGAACATACCCAGGAAAAGCAGGATTCTAACTTAAGTGAATTCACCTGCCTGTAAAATATTCTTAACCTAATTCTTTTTTTTTGATTGATCAAAATAATACTATCAATAAACATGGTCTGAAAATTAGTCTTGTGCTATGTACATTTTTCTCTAAGCAGTTTTACATATACCAACTCATTTAATCTCCCATTTTAAGAAAGAAGAGTAAGTAGCACAGAGAGGTTAAGTAACTTGCTTTAGATAACACAGAGTAGCAGAGCAAGGATTCAAACACAGGTAGTCTTCATCTGTGTTCTTAACCTCTATGCTATACTATCTCTTAAGAAAGAAAGAAGGTTAAAGGCAGTAGGTCAGAATCTGCAAGATGCAGTCCCTGCCTTCATGGAGCAGAAATGATATCCTTACAGCTCACATCTCTTCTTTCAGATCTCTGCTCAAATATTACCTTTCAGAGAAGCTAATCATGAGTGCCTTTTATCGAAACAGTCTTCCCTCCACCAGCTCCCACCCATTTTGCTTTATTTATTTTTCCCAGTAGTGCTTATCTTCCCTTGATATGTGTGTATTTGTTTGTTTCCCCTTGGTAGGATGTAAATTCCCAGGGGAGCATCAGGAGCAGGGACTTCCTCTGTTTTGCATGTTGTCAGTGTCCCCAGTGCCTACAGCAGGGGCCAGGATGCAGTCATACTGTCTGAATGAGTGAATGGTTACTGCTTTTTCTCAGATGAACCTTGGTTTTCTTGGTAGCTATGTGGATATATGTTGCTTCCCAGTTGTGTTGTGTTGTTTGATCCTTCTTAGCAAGACATCATGGCCTCTCTCCCCCGCCTTTCGCCTTACTTTACTGCCTTTGGTCATTCAACTTCAGTTTGCCACGCAGAAGCTTGTTAAGGTGTCCTGTTAGCCATTCTCCACATCTAGGCAAGAGAATAGGGGCAAAGCAAGAGTGGCTTTGATATTGGTGGGTTGTCTGTTCTACAAGCCTCTCGTACTGCCTCGAAAGTCTGTTGAGGTTTGGATACCTGAGATGCATAAAAATGTTTCATAGGCAGAACCATGATACTTTATCTGTTACTTTGAATTTAAAGTCTGCTGTCCATTTGTATGAGTTGTAAATAAATCATTGCTGCTTCTGTCTGATTTTTGTACTGAGTTCATGTTTTTCTATCTTCTACTTTATCTCCTGAGATCATAATTTATTTATTTATTTTTGTGTTTTGTGTAATGTCATAATGGACTGGCTCCTTTTAGATGTTAACAGACATTTATAACAAACCACTTAGAAATCTGCCTTTTCTCAATATAATTAAATGGCTAACCTTTCAAATAACATCAGTACTGCCTGGTCTTACATTATATATTTTTTAAGCATAAATGGATGGTCACAGTAACTAAGGTGAAAAATAGCTGGTTCTAAAATAAAATAAATTACCATTACAGTATACTAACACATGTATATGGAATTTAGAAAGATGGTAACGATAACCCTATATGCAAAACAGAAAAAGAGACTCAGATGTATAGAACAGACTTGTGGACTCTGGGAGAAGGCGAGGGTGGGATGTTTCAAGAGAACAGCATTGAAACATGTATATTATCTAGGGTGAAACAGATCACCAGCCCAGGTTGGGTGCATGAGACAAGTGCTCGGGCCTGGTGCACTGGGAAGACCCAGAGGGATCGGGTGGAGAGGGAGGTGGGAGGGGGGACCGGGATGGGGAATACATGTAAATTCATGGCTAATTCATTTCAATGTATGACAAAAACTACTGTAATGATGTAAAGTAATTAGCCTCCAACTAATAAAAATAAATGGAAAAAAAAATTTTTTTAAAATATGTATAAGAAAAAAAATAAATATGATGGAACTGCTAAAAAAAATAAAATAAAATAAATTTTAAAATGAGGAATGATAAGAAATAATAATTTGACTATAGTAAAAGAAAAGGTGTTCTAAACAGTTTTTTATTTTTATTTATTTTTTAAACAGTTTTTTACGTTTAAAAAGGGTGATTTTGCTCACTAATAATTCTGTGAATAATTTCTATTTTGGACCACAGAAAGGTTTTTTTCCTCCCTGTTATTTCTTTTATTGAGATATAATTAACATGTAACATTGTATTAGTTTTAGGTATGAGTATAATGATTTGATATTTGTATATATTGTAAAACAATTGCCACAGTAAGTTTAGTTAACACCCATCACCACACAGATAACAGTTTTTTTCTTGTGATGAAGACTTTTAAGATCTACTCTTTTAGCAATTTTCAGAAATATTATACAGTATTGTTAACTTTAGTTACCATGCTGTATATTACATCCTTGGGACTTATTTATGTTATAACTGGAAGTTTGTACCTTTTGACCCCCTTCACCTATTTTGCCTATCCTCCACCCCTGCCTCTGACAACCGCTAACTTGTTCTCTGTATCTCTCAGTTTGGTAGGGTTGTTGTTGTTGTTGTTTATTTATTTATTTATTTTTTAATATTTTTTTCCATTTATTTTTATTAGTTGGAGGCTAATTACAATATTGTAGTGGTTTTTGCCATACATTGACATGAATCAGCCATGGATTTACATGTGTTCCCCATCCTGATCTCACCTCCCTGTAGTTGTTTAAATTAAAAAATTTTTATTACTATTTTTTGGCCATGCTGGGTGGATTGTGGGATCTTCGTTCCCTGACTGGGGATTGAACCCCGGCCCTCAGCAGTCAAAGTGCAGAGTTCTAACCACTGGACCATCAGAGAAGTCCCTTTTTTATTTTTTCTAGATGTCCCATATAAGTGAGAGAGATCATACTTTATTATTTTTCAAATGACTTTGTCTTCTTTGCAGTATACATATCCAACTCTGAGATTTTCAATTTAGTGCTCTCCCTCTCTCATAAAAGCTTCTTTGCCTATCAGTTCTCTTACAGCTCCTCACCCAAATATCCTATATCCTTTATTTACACTAGAACCTGTAGTCCAGCGTTTCTCAATACGGGCTTGAGAGTTACCTACAGCAGAATCCCCTGGAGGCCTTTATTAATCCTTCAGTTCTACATGTAGGAGGAGCTTCCGGGTTATTCTGCTTTACCCTGTTTTAGTTAGTGAATCCCTCCAGCTTTGCTCTAGTCCTTCTTGGCTTCTCTGAACGCCCTAGTCAGACTTGTATCTTTTAAGTGTACATAGTTGCATTCTAGACTTCCATTCTCGACTGCTATGGCAGTCCCTGGATCATTTCCATTTTCTCTTTTCTAAAACTCTATTACCACTTTTGATCTTTGTCTCAATAAATGTCAGTTCCCTTTCTCTTTTCCTTCTCCAGAACCAGCACACTTTTGGTTGAGGATCCAAAATTGCTTCTGTCCCTACTCCTCCTCTTTACTCTCTTTCTATGTTTTTCTGTCTTACAAAGTTCACCAGTTCTCATAGTTTCAAACAAAACTGCCAAATGTCTCCAGTTCTTCCATATGTTGTCTGAGTTCTGGTCAATAGCTTGAACTAATAGTTATTTCTAATTGCACATTCAACTATGACTTCAACATTGCTAAAACTAAGTGGATCACCAAGTTCATTTTCTCTCACTCTGATTATAAAGTAATACTGATTTGTTTTCATTGCAGGCTCTTCAGCAAAAGCACTTGTCAGTTTAAAAGGTAAGAATCAGAGCTTGATTCTTTAGATATGGCATAAACTATGAATTCAATTCATTAAATTAATTTGGTTATAGTATTTGTCTTTTCTTTCTAAGTTACGATTCACTATAGCTTTTAAATACTGGTTTTCACTGATGATAACTTTAAATTCATATGGGAATTTGGCCGTTGGTTTTCTCCCTCTAGAATTATTGATTAAAGTACTTTGTAACTAAACATTCTGAACACTTCTTACTGGATTTAAATAATGTATTAACAACTGGGCTAAGCTGTATTTTGAGGGCTTCCCAGGTGGCTCAGTGGTTGTTTATTTTTAAAGAATTTTGTGAGCTAAGTAATAATGCAAGTCTCTTGAAATAAAACAGTGATAGTGTTATTTTGAGAAAAAGTTAGACTTGTTCCTTGGTCTTGCTATTTCTTTGTATGAGTAGATTAGATCAGTCCTTTTAATATAATTTTGAAATTTTATCTCTTGAGCAAGATTCTACTGGGTAAGTACATTTGGAACCAATCTAAATCTTTTCATAGGCTCATTAGTACTTTTAGTTTTTAAAGCTACTATGTTGTACCTTGGATGCGTGATGTACCAGATCAAGTCCTTCTGGCTTGAGAACACTTATCTTCCAGGATTACCCTCATTTATTTGTCTAGAAGGATCAACCCCATCTGATCTCTTTTGTACTTATTACCATATATGTCAGAAAAACAACTCCACTATTTTTTTCTTCAAATATTAAAGCCATGTCTCTTTTTAAATATATACAAGGAATATAAAATTTTTATAGGAAAATTAGAAAATGCTATCAGGTAATTAGAAGGAAATAGAAACAACTATCCTGTGTATATTCATCTCAATTTTCTCTCTCTCCAAATAAACATATTTTTATGAAAATTAAACTCACCTTCTTTAATTTCACAATTTTCATGTTTAATATGTTTAATCAGTTGATCAGATTTTTTTCTGGTTGAATACAACTCTGAAGACGTTTCACAGAATTAAGGGAAAAAAATACCACATATGTCATTTTTGGATATTAAGGGTTTTACACATTGAAGCAGAAAATGTTTAGAAATATGCTCTAAGTTCATAGTTAAAACTTTTCTCATTTTTCCTTGCCTGCTTTCAGTCAGACTGTACTGAGACAGTTCTTGGCAAATTAGAATAGAGGAATTATTGAAAACCAAAATTAAATAAGCCACACATGTTTTAATATGAAAATGTAATAGTTTTAAGTAGAATCGGCTTGTCAAATTATTTAGAAAATTTGACAAGAAAATACAAAAGAGATTTTTTCATTTGTAATAAACAAATTATTATGGGCAGTATATTTTTTCTGTATTGGTAAATATTTCAGATATATTGCTATTATTAAAAGGCCATATTTATAGTATAAAGTCCTTTGAACTAAACTTAAATAATCATAAATAATAATTATTTATCACAGAGGGAAGCTTATCTAACACATGGAATGAAAAGTACAGTTCTTTACAAAAAACACCTGTTTGGAAAGGCAGGAATACAGGCTCTGGTGTGGAAATGGTAAGGTATTATTTTTTCTTACTCTTTAGAATATGACCGCTAAATTGTCTGTATTGTCATGTACACATTCTTATAGCACTATAAAACTTTTTCTAAGGTTTTTCCCCATTTCCAACCACTTGTGTCTTTAAGTGTCATTGAACAGTATTTGGTCATATCTAGATAAATAATCTATGATATCTGTTCATCATTAAGCAATTGTAAGTAATTGTTGCTTTAAATAGGCAAACCAAAAAAACTCCTCAACAACCCAAAATCTTAACTTTTAATAGATTTTTAATGATTTAGTAGATTTTTTTAAAATAAAAAAATTGTGTATGACTCGACCCTACAAAAAGATTTCTAGATAAGTGGTGAGATATTTAAATCTTGTGGAGGTCAAGGGTAAATGCATTTAAGTTGGGAAGTAGAGATGAGCACATGATTGGCATAACTAACAATTTTGGGGGCCTTTCCTCCTCCCCTAGCCCCAGGAACTTTTAGGGGTCAGTCATGAAACACAGCTCTGGGTCAGACAGTAGCTGTGTCAGGAGCCTGGGCAGTGGGCCATACTCTATCAATCCTGTTGTCATTTTCTTCTTCCTCTCTGCCCACGGACAGGGGAGGGAGGCAGGGTAGAGGGGACTTCCTGTTAGGGCTATGTGTTCCTAAGGCTCTCAGTGGGTTTAATTTCAAGGGTCCATACCTCTAGAGTCAATTGGATGCTTCAGTTTGATACCTTCAATTGGATGCTTCCCATATGTTGCTATCCCACTTCCCCTGCTTCAGTTCAAAGTAGGCGTGGAACTGTCTTGAATGATGAGAGAAGGATTTGAAAAGGGTGTGGGTGTTATGGGGATATTATTTCTGGTGTTCTTCTCTATTAATAAAGGCTCTGAACCTAAGATGGACTGTAAGTTTTTTCATATTACAGATCCTTAAGTGTGTAATGTATTTTGGATACTTAAAAGTTTTTAGTTCATATGTACTTATCAAGCGTCTGTTATTATCTCATATTTTTATTAAATGGAAATTTGTCAACAATTTTTCATAGCAGATCTAGTATAATATTATATACCTTTAGATTTACTCTCTAAAATGGGTAAATGTACTCTCAAAGTCTAGTTAATTTGTCCCAATCCAGTCCTACACAGCAGACACATCCTGTGAAACACCTAGTTGGTTGGTATTAATCCAAGCACCAACATAATGAGAACTGGAATTTCCGGAACTTAATTTTCAAGACTACCAGCATACTATATGAAGACTTGGGTTCTAGTTTTAATTATCAGCTGTGTGTTTCATCTTTAAACAAATTGCATAAATATGTATATTTCTACTTTATAAAATCTAAGATTATTTGTATGCTTTGTATTTTCCGTTCTTCATTCTTCAGTACTGATGATAATTCAGCTAGCAGTATTTTCCAAGTGTAGAATTGTGCTTTGGAACAAAAATTAGATATGTTTGGTCTTTTCATTAAATAAAAAATTTCTATCATAGCCTTTCAGAAATTCAAAACGAAGTCGGCTCTTTTCTGATGAAGATGACAGACAAATAAATACAAGGTCACCTAAAAGAAACCAGAGGGTAGCAATGGTTCCACAGGTATGTGTGTGCTAAAATTTTGTTTCATTGAAAGGAAATGAGCAATCACTCAGCATAATAAAGTTTGTATTTATCATTCTATCACATTTTGAGTGACAAGTTCTTTTCTTTAAATCATTACTTCAGCTCAGCTCTGTTTCAGTTACCTGAAAGGGGGCATTATTTTATTGATGAACTTTAAACCAGAGTAGAAAGCCAATCTTCAGTCTTAAAAATGCACACTCTTTTTTTTTTTTTTGAGGGGCAGGGGGCTCTGCCCCACAACATTCAGGATCTTAGTTCCCTGACCTGGGACCCAACCTGTGCCCCCTGCAGTGGAAGTGCGGAATCCTAAGCACTGGACCACCAGGGAAGTCCCATGTACACTCCTTTTAAGCATGGAGATAGTGGACATTAAACAAATGAATTTGGCAAATTGGGATCAACTTGGCATTTTGCATGGAATTCAGAGGGGAAAAATCATTTTACTTTATCACTAAGGGAAGTATGTTGAAGACTTTCTTTATCCAGAAGAGGAAAATATATAGTGAAAAATCATATTTCCTTTTTCATTTTTGGCATCTTTTTTTTTTAAAAAGTGATAGTAGACATACAAGAGTTAAAGGAATGAATGAAAATTAGAAAAGGAAATATTAACTTTAAAAATAAAGTAATTTTCTTCTGTGAAACTTAAAATTTTTGATAGTTATTCCCTACTTTCATTTTTTTCAAAAGCATTTTAAGATTTTCTAGTAGGATATATTATAGTAGAGATAATTTTCTTAACCAAAGATTTGGCATCAAATAAATTAGAAGTATTACCAGCAATACGCCCTACCAAAAAAAATCCAAAGAGTTTTTACATACCTTTATGGTTGTTTCAAAAAGTAAAATATATTGTTCTCTGTAAAATGAACAAAAATTATGAAATTTTTTTTAACATCAAGGACAAGTGTGCATAAGCATCTAAATTTCAACTTAAAAATTTGAGCAATTGAAAC